ATCTGTGGGCACTGCGCCGTTACCTAGCAACACCTGCCATGCCACGTTACCTAGCAACCAAGTGAGCTGTTGGGAATTACAAGCAGGCTAGATCATGGCATATTGTGCTTTTTAAATATCTTGTCAGTTCTCCAAAAGACAACAAGCTCCACAACTACTTCTTCCTCATTGAATGAACTCATGTAAACTTTTGTCTTTAACTCATATGAGTCACAGATTTTGTCATCTAACATTTGTTTTGATAGAAATAGAAATATATACCAAAGTTTAGTGTTCTGTATGTAATGTTGCCACTATGACAACTTTTGCCTATATTCTGGTGATTTTTTTGCAGCATATTTTTACTTCAAATATGGACCCATCGTCTTCTGCAGATCCTAACAACTTATAAAGTTTTAAAATGTTTTCTTCGCTCCTACCTTTCTGAAAACGATCATATTGGGGTAGTCATCATCTGGGTCTATGGTGCTCATGGACCTCATGGACAGAAGTGGTCGAGCCTTTCTGACGACTTCATTTGGTTCCTCGGAGCCTTCATCAGATTCACTGGTCTCCACAGAGCTTGGCAGCTGCTGCTCCTCTTCCTCCTCCTCCTCCTGCTGCTGCTGCTGCTGCTGAGGTGCTTCAGCCATCACCGCAGTGTCCCTTTTCGGATGCGTTAAGTTATCCTCTCTTCTTTATCAGCGACAGGCTTCTTTCTTTACGTCTTGTGCCCTTTCCTCAGTGTCTGGAGGGTGCTGCAGGGAGAGACAGATTAATTGGACCTTATAACTCACTGGTGGGCTCCATCAGTTTTTTTTTTTCTAGGGTTTGTCAGGAAGAACAGAATGGATGAAATGAACACACAAATTCTGCTTGTTTTCTCAGTTTAACTTCCTGCTTATGCAGCACATCGCATGGTGTTTAAGCGTTTTACAAATATTTTTGCTTATTCATTCATAAACCATATCACCTCCCACACCGTCACAGCATGACCGTCAAATCTCCACAATTTTAAATCAAAGCATTTATTTCTCATATTCAATTGCAATAATTTATGGGACTGATTTCAGATCTTGCTGGGATAACTGATGACGTGCTGAACCTGAATGTTGTTTTACAAACCGTATGCTTCCATCTCTCAGCAAAATGAACCCTTGATGAGTCTATATAAACTCATGACCTTTACTTTTTGTATGAAAATACTCCAAGCATCCTTTAACGGAGTTCTGAGCAAAAGGATGCAGTTTCTTCTATCCAAAAATATATAACTGCCAAAAATAGCCGACTTCTGTCTCAGGTGGGACTTATTAAAAAAGCAGAGAAGAAGAAAAACAAAAAAATAACAAAAGGATTTCATATTTATTTTCTTTCCAAAGAAAAATAAAATTGTTCCTGAATCTTACATGCTTAACTGTGACCAAGTCTTATCCAACTTTATTTATAAAGCACTTTAAAACAACCACAACTGATACAAAGTGCTGTACATTAAAACACAACATAATAAAAATTTTTTTTTTTTAATTCCACTAAATCCACCAGAGATGAGTTGTTCTGCAGGTTTTTTTAATTAAATCATCTTCATCCTGAGACGGTTCAGTTCCCAGACTGAAGTTGGCAACTCACGCCTGAAAATCTAAAATAGTCCAAATGGAGCAACACTTTCTCCAATTTTAATTAACACAAGTCAGAGTGAAACTCTAAATTTCATCTAATGCCTGAAGAGTAAAAGTTATAAAATGTTAGAAGATAACTCAGTACTTTCTTTACTCTATCCTCATGCAACAATCTGCTGAATGCAACAGCGTTAGTCATTTTCAGCAACTTGAATTATTTCTGGCCATCTTCTCTCTGAGCACATGCAGCCATTTCACTTATCTTTATTTCTAGAGATTAAATGAGATCCAAATAGGACATTTGATTTTAACTTATCTTTAAAAATCAAGACAGATTTACAGCTACAACTCCAAACATCCTGCAAAGATGCTTGGAGAACTGGTGAAGCGTTTTCTTCAGACAGGATAGGGAACCTGGTCGGAGTTGAATGAAGATGGATGGAGCTGAATACAGGAAAAAAACTGGAAAATAAAATTTTGAAACAAGGATGAAGACAAAAAAGGGCTACAAGAGTGGTTTAATCCCCCCCGAGTCTTGACCAGGGATCCTCAACTGCAGGTTTTATGCTTCTCTGCTGCAACACACCTGCTTGACTGCACTGAGGAGGTCATTCAGATTTGATTGAAGAGTGTTGAACCAGGGACACATCTAAAAGTTGCAGCACACTGACTGCCAAAGCCTGGATTTTAGGACTCCAGGTCGAGGCTTGAATCTAATTTAGACGGTTACAATATCTGAAATTAACATTCAAGGCTCTCCGGCACATTCTCCAAAACAACGAGCAAAAACTTGATGTGCAAATTTGGTAAAGAAATTGCAAAAACACTGCAGACGAATACAAACCAAAGGCACAGCATTGATTTGTAAAACGACTTTCTCCCCATTTCAAAAATGTCCACTACTCTGTTGCAATTTTGTTTCCAATAAACGCAATGATGTTCTACATTTGTTGCTGTGTAAACATTGTGACACTGGTATTTTTTGCACATACCATTAAAAGAAAAAACTTTTTTGCCTTGCCTGTGGAGTGAAACATTTTGTTGATCCAGTTAAACATCTTTCCACAGCAGGATTCAGAATTTTTCAATTTGATCTTTTTTAACACAACCAAACAAGATTTAATCCTATATTCCAGGCGTGGCATGTTCACCCTCTGTGCAATATGGACCGTCACTGACCTGGAACAGAACCGGCATCCAGCAACTACAAGCATCAAACCGAAACTCTGCTACAACTTTGGATACATAAGCGTGTAATAATCGGGATTTTTTTTTTAAGAAAATGTGGAACAAAGTGAGCTGCCATCATATAGAAAAGTTAACCTACATTTCAGTTTGTGCTGCACATTGTGCTTTCTTCAGTGTATGCAATTAGCCCTACAGTCAATATATAACTATAATTTGATGCTAAAAGGAAAAGACATGCAGACAGCTGTCAGGAGGCTTTTTGACCAGTATAGAAAGATGACCGTATAGAACCATAAAAAGAGAATGAGGCTCCCCACAACAAAACTGTGTGGATCTGAGAAAATGATTGTGAAAAGCAGGTTTGCATTCATTAAATAGGTAAGTTAGCTGTTCATAACTGGGCAAATTTCAGCAGGTAACTCATGCAAGCTGATCCAATATGATTTGGGCCCAACGCCCAGCTGTGTGTGTGTTGTGCAGCTCAGACACACATTTAAGTCCACATCAGCTGGCACTTTAGATCAATGCTCTCATCAGCCAGCTGTTTGTTCCTCTGAAATTCTCAGAGAATACACACACACACACACACACACACACACACACACACACACACACGCACACACACACACAGTGTGTCAGCAGCAGAGCTTCAGAGGGCTGCTTCCTGTGAGGAAAGGAAAATGTGGCGTTTGTTTGCAATTGCAAATTAGAGGGGGACTGAAATCATCTCAGAATTAATGGCTTCCAACCTGCTGTCGTTATTCCAAACATACCATCTGTTTGGTCGGCGCCGCAAACCTGCACCTCGCTATGACAACAAAATGCCTGAATTGTTTCCTTGTGATCAAGTTCGCACACTGATTGATCCGTCCTCCACCCAGGATTAGATGTAGGCTTGTTAAACTGGGATCAGTATCAGGAGATTGGCTCTGACTGCTCATTTTGCATGTAAATTAAGTTATTCAACGTGAATACTCGCATCCACCTTTATCACCGTGTGATTTAGAGAGCCTGTGGCGTGTTTGCTTTATCAGGGATTTTGGTTAAATCCACTTTCACCTTTTCGTCCTTTATTCTAGCCCACAAATCAATATTTCTAAGCAGCAGGACATCCTAATTGTGTTTCTGGAGTAAGAGGGATGGCAAAGGGTCAAACGTTTTTAGCCCTTTAGTAGTTTTCAGAATTTTACTTTAAAAAGTTAAAAGGTCTGAGGTGTACCTGCAAACGCAGAGAAATGTATAAATTTTAAAACTTTAGTTTAATGTGAAACCTTGGCACATACTGAAAGGGCAGTTTGCTTGTAGCACCTCAATTTGTCACTTGTTGCAATGAGTGACCTTTCCCTGTTGGTGCATTGCAGCGTTGCTGATTTTCTCTTTTTTGGAAAACGAAAAAAAGACAAAGCTGAAGTCCAATTAAATGAACCTATTTGCTAGACAAGTCTGTTTTAAATTTGGTTTGATTTGTCCCCTAACATCCCCACTCTCATCACTTTACCTCAAACCTGCATGAAGTTGGAAGATGGAATTAAAAAGGTATGATTGTCACTCCAAAATCTTAATTATGACTGAAACAAAATGCACTAAATTAGCCCTGCATGCAGATTTTGTTGTTGTTGCTCTTTTGTAGAAGTTATTGATTCATTTTAAATTAGGGCTGCACCGATTGAAGCTTTCTAATGTTAAGTACACTTGTGCCAACCTTTTATATTGGTCACAACCTAACATTAAAGATCAATGTTTGTTAGTAAATCCACTGTTTTCAAACAGGAATAAACAATTAATCTTACATAGATATGATTTTCTGGTCCAAATTTCCAGCTACAAAGAACAAAGCAGCATCAAAGATGAAAAAAAAAAAAACTCGCTGTGATAATTTATTATGCAAGTCTCAAATTATTAACCCAATAAACTGGATCACATTCAGAGCTGAATATTACTTTGGCCTTCCATTTTCATCTCAACACATGCTGTGATGACAGCAAGAGGAAACCCAGTGAGATCTCCAGCTGCTTTTAAAGTCTTTTTTTATCAGTTTCCCTCAAGACCCTTTGCAGAGCAACAAACTCACAGCTGGTGGTTTCTGCAGCACCTATTCCCACCACCTCCCAGGGAACACTAAACAGTTGGCAGTTCTGACACCGGGTGGCTGCAGATCAAGGAAACAATCAAATCAGTGGGCTTGGAGGGTTATATGACAATGTTCAATTCTTAATTTGCAACAAAAGATTGCAGATTAGCGAGCGAGCTGATCATCAAGTCGGTAACTGTCAAATGTTTTAAATCGTAGACGGATTTAAAACATGTTCGAAATTTAGATTTACAGGATCAAATGAATCAAGAATGAAGGTTTGTAGAGAGATGTTTTCATGAGATCAGTTCATGACGTTACCACTCAAGAAAAGGTGAAGATGGGTAAAATTTACTAAATTTATCAGATTTAATTGAGCTTATTTTACACTTTTTAGCAAGACAAATTAAGAGCTGAAAAGCAAACAAGCAGACATGTTGGTAGAAAGCAGGAAATGTTCTGACACATTGCGATCCACCTATTAGTACGTTAAACGTATTTGTCCTGCTAGGGTTGGTTAATTTGTCGAAGTGTTTTGTTTGAAAACTTCCTGAAATTTAAAATGTTAATTATTTTTAACAATCCAGTACAGCACCGTAGCGAGCTGATCATCAAGTCGTTAATTAATGAAAATACATTGAGTTTGTCAAAAGTCGCCAGTCACTGCCATCAACTTAGGTAACAATAATGAATGTTTCCCCTTCCTGATGGACACAGAACATCAAAATAATTTTGAATCATTAGCAGCAGCAGCAACCCCACCAACAGGGACAGTAAAAGCACAAGTGCTCATTATAAAACTTTAGTTAAAACACAAAAATCAAAACACCTTCAACTTCACTACCTGTCCTTGTTTTTGCACCTCAATTTTGAGCTTAATTTTGTAGACGCGTAGATTTTTTCCAAATTAACTAAAAAAATAATCTGCACACAAAATGTGTATTTGTAGCAAAACAGCTTATGATATTCTTTCAAATGGGCATATTATTATGCCAATAGATTACACCCAAACATCACAAAAATATTTGATATTTTCAATCTAAGGGAGTATATTGTAAAAGAAAAAAGAAACATCTTAGCTTTTGCTAAGACTGGACAACAACAAAAGAAAACAAAATCCCATTCAGGTTCTAACTGTGGAGGAAAACTCTCAGGCTGCTATAGTGGCAGCAAAAGGTGGATTTGCAAGGTATTGACTGAGGGTTGTTTGTTTTGAAAAAATATATAATTTCATAATTTTCTTGGCTCATCAAATCACTCATCTCATTAAAATACATTTAAGTTTGTGGATGTAATTTCAGAAAACGGCAGGATTTTTAATACTTGAAATAAGCATGGAATGAAGTAGAGTAATTTCTGATCCATTATCTAATCACACATCTTTAACAAAATGCAGTTAATTAAAAACAAGAAGGTCATTAGCAATTAGTTCCCATTTTATTTTATTGCAGCAAAGCAAATTTCCTACCAAGTCAATGTGAATTGTCACCATGCAGTTTCTGTGAATGGAGGGCTTTAATAAAGTCTCCCTGATGTTTTTTCAGCATGAAACACTTTTGCAGAGATCAGCTGTGAGTTTTGGGTAATAAAAGTAAGATCAGTGTTGGGCCTCCAGCCATGAAGGACATAAAGGCGAAACTAAGGCGAGAAAGAGAGAAGAACCTGCAGAGCAAAAAAAAAAAAAAAACTGGGAAAATAAGTCTGGAAGAAGTAACAAGCAGAGTGGGGACAAGGTGAGAAGAGCTACAGAGTAATAGAGAAATGACAGCATTGCTCAGGATATGGAATATTCACAAATCTAACCTCAGAGCATTACTACAAATGTCTTATGCAGAAAAATCGCCAAGAAGCACCTGCAAGTCCTGGACTGCACCGATAAAACTGCCCCGATTCAACAAATAGGACACTTAACATATGTGTCAACTACAACAAAATAAAAATTATCCACGCAGTGAATCAATGCTTTCAGGAATGATGCACTTCTTTTTTTTAAAAAAACAAACTTGACACTAAAATTAATGCCTATGACAAAAACGCTCCGGTACATCTGAATCCTCCCCATCCAGAATGTGAAACGCCTTATACATCGTCAAATTACACAAACGTCAGACTAACCAACTTAAAAACAGTTAAATGCTATGCGATTACTAAAGCAGAATTAAGAGAGGTTCTGCACATTGGATCATTTGGAAAACTGAAACATCTCAGGACGATCCACTCCCTGAACGCGCACGCATCCAAAAGCTTCAGTCATCCACTCAGACATGTTCCCACCAAAACTCTCAACATCCGTGAAAACCCCCCACAGAAACACCCACTGTGACTCAACTGAGCAGTCGAACTTGATCAAACCACAGTTGCGATTAATAGGACTGTCCAACATCATCCAACATCCCGCTGATCCAGCACCTCCGCGCATCACTCTGCCAACATCGCCGCACTCGCTATTTTCTTCCCTCCTAATCTTCTGCACATCTTTCTCACTCCACTGCACATCAGTCTTCCCACCCCCATATTCAGAGCCTTGTTTCTCACCTCTTACCGCCCGCTGACGTCCATCCTTCTCTGGGAGCTCCGGAAACAAGAAGCGGCTTCACCACCGACCCAACAAGCGCCTGAAGAGAGAGGGAGAGACGGAGAGAGGCAGAAACACAGGAGGGAGGGAGAAGAAACAATCCTTACACACCCAAAACCGCTTCAACAGAACATTAGTTGGTACAACCTGCACACAAATAAAGTTCAAAGAGAAAAAAAAATCATTATAGGTCATTTAAAAATCAATTGTCATGCCCAAAACCTAATTTTGATATGGTATTTTAAAATATTTATGAATGAAGGCCCTCTCCGGTGAAAACTTTGACTTGTCTTTGCATTACTTCACAAAATATACTGCATTTTAAACGAGGAAAAGTGCTCTATCAGTTATAAATGCTTACTTTTGAGGTAAGGTAGTAGTGCAGCTAACTCACTTGATATTTCTTCCCGAGAAATGTGCTGCGATAAAAGTAATAATAAATATCTCTTTTTTTTTAAAAGAAATGAGGTTAAGCTTGGAAATTTACAACAAAAGCAGCAGAGATGCTGAAAATGAACAACAGGTGTGGCGTAATCAGCAGTGACAATCCACGAGTAATGGTGTGTTCCAGTTACCTGGGAATTTGGTATATTCAAGTTAAGAAGTCAGAATTTCAACATGGCGACGCCCATAGACTTTTTTTTTTTTTTTTTTAGTACTTCTTACTTTACATAAGTAGACGCTACTTTTAATTTGTTCTGTTTATAGTTACAGGAAGTTGATTTCAGGCGCATTTTTGCATGCGTCATGCAAAACTAATGTTTCTGTTGATGTCAGGAGGAGCGGCCATATTGAAAGTCGGCCTGAAGTCATAACTGAGGCTAGTTGGAGTTGCTCCCAGTTTCCCAGAGGGAAATCAAGCTTTAGTGGGCGTCCCAGTTGGGTTTTGGAATTTCCCAATTACGAGTACAACAGGAATGTAGCATAAAAAGTAGCCACAAAAGAAACAAACAAATCAAAAATGAAACTATTTTAAAAAGCACATTTAAAACTTTAGAGTTCACCTAAGAGTTGAACATAAAACAAAACTTTGAATAACGTTAAAAGATCAGAAATCAAAAGTAACAGCAAGAAATACGGAAAATATGACCCAAATAAATTGAAGGGCCATTTAGGTTCAGGAGCAGTTTTCATTTTACATGCAAGAATTAAGCTTTTTTAATCCAAACTAAAACCATACTCTGCCATGAAACAATAAAAAACATGCTATTTTTATAACAAACTGCTCAGAGTGCAAGCATTTGGAGAGAAAAAAGTTTTAGAAGCAAAACCATGCAAACTTTAAAAAGAACAAAAAAGCATTTTATAATTAATTTTACATGTCAAGGAAGTCATTCTATGAGGATTAAAAGTGATCAAAATGCAGGTATTAATGTCATTTTTAGTGGAATTTGAGTTTTGAGATGACATTTGTTGTGAATTGTCACTATATAAATAAACAGACATTCAAGTTGTAAGAAATAACTGGATTCTTAGTCTGTGCCTGAATAGTTGAAGACACATTTCATAACATTTTCTTGATAAATTGTCAAAAATGTTAAATTCTTTACAATAGCTACCATCAGCATTTTCTACTCTACAATGATGCTGTAAAACTAAGTATAAAAATCACTGTAAATTATTTTCTGCCTAATTCTAAATTATTTCTCCAGTTGTAAAATCTAGCATTTCTAATCAAGCAGGAAGTTAACAGAAAATGTTATCGTTATTCCCTTCAGACGCTTCCCAGCTGCAATGTATTCCAACCGGAGGGTGAAATAGTAATTCGTTTCTAAACGCTGGTGTGAGATTTGTTCAGCAGCACCGAGATAAACTCGCTCTGTGCCTCTGAATTTATTTCCTGTCAAGCAGCAGGCTTTGTCAGGGTCACAGATGGCGCCGATCTTTTAATATTGGAGCTTGATGTTGTCTATTTCAACTCCAATAATTCAGGTACGACACATGCTGGATCAGACCGATTCTATTTGTAGCTTGAAGCAAACCATTTTCTTCGCAAGGCGTTTAAAAATACCTCGCAAATATTCTCATCTGCAAAGAAAGTAGAAAGTATATGTGAACATTTCAAGCTGGATTGAAGGAAACTTCTTCACACCTTATCTGAGACATTTATTAAACATTTTTCTTTTAGAGTTCTGAATATTGGCCAAATGAAGGATTTAGTGAGTTAAAGCAGAACGACATTTTAAATTCTCCACAGATTTGTCTCGACTATTACATCCATTCCTATCATCCAATGTCACCGCATTGAAAAATAATTTACTATTGTTCACATTGTCCTTACTCTCTATGACAATTTACTCTCACGACTCCAGAGCTGCCTGTGGTTTCAGAGGTGTTCATGAGAAATTGACACATTTTGCATTCATGTGTCAACTATTGCAATTGAAACAAAGGATTTTTTTTTTTTATTTGTTTTGACAAGTTTACAGAAGGATCAATCTAAAGAAAGAAAAAAAACACATCTCAGAGTGCAGAGCGGAATGTTACAAAATATATATCTTAAAAACTTCTGTTGTGGTTTTGCTAGATCTCAATGCTACGTTCAACACATTTAGACAACATGCTTTGACAAAAGCTTTAAAATTTTGATTTTACTAATTTGTGGTACTTTTCTACAACTGGTTCAGATCTACCAACAGTCCAAAACTAGTTTGTGGGATTTAGTAAACCAGAGAAAACAAATACAAGGTACCTCAAGGCTCCATCATTGGATAACTTTTATTATAAAGCAAAGCAACAGATGTAATAATTATGCTGATGACATATGTTATATTATAACCCACAATGGTCAATGAATCAGTGTCTCCAAAAATATAAAGTCTGTAGATAAATTGGAGGAAGTTCCAACCTATCACAGAAAAGAGAGTTTTAATACAAGACATACAAGGTTAGAAACTGGAATTAAAGTAGACTGAAGAAGGCTAAAGAAAGCTAAAAACACAAGATGGCATCACAGAATCAGATCTGAATTTTAACATCTATTAATAAGTCAGTCTAATACCAGCTTATAAACTGTATCTTTCCTGTCACAAGACGCCAGCAACTTTCATTCTCACAGGTTACAACATCAGTGGTCAGCTGCTGCTGCAGCCAGAGTCCTGACCAACTGAGTGGGAATTATCTCACACTTGCAGATAAAGCACCAAATGTTTTTGACCAGTAAATCCTTCCAGTTTTGCTGGTCAGATTTGAACACCAGAGATCTGCTCACTCAGAGATAAACAAACGGAGGCAGGATTTCCTTTGGATGCAGAAACAGAAACTATCCTTTAAAAGACGACGAAAAGCACAACACCTGCTTCACTGCAAAACCTGCTTCACTGTTGTAATGTTTTAGCTTTCTATCTGCTTAAATTATTTAATTTTGTCTCATGTTTGCATTTTGTTTAATGTGTATTTTTGTATTTCACTTTATCTCTGTTCCTTTGTTATCCTGCATATGAATGGTGCTATAGCAATAAACTCACATTGCCTCGAGACCATGTTGCAATGTAATCAGGCACTTATCACAAAAACATTACGTCAAACCGGAAAATTATCTACTTTTCTTTTCAAATCCTACTGTCTCAGTTTTAATGAACAAGCCATTCTGAATCTTTCTCCATTTTTTTCTAATTCAAGGTTTGGACACGTCATTTGAATGAGAAAAAAAGAATAATTTCTTCATTCCAAAAGTTCTCCACTGACAGAAAGATTTCCTTACTGCAACTTGTGATATTTGAAATGCATTGTGGTGTATTTGAACAACAGCTCCAGATCACAAAACAATGCATGTTCTGACAATTTCAGGAACACCATCTGCGGGACAAGAGATTTTTTTCAGCTCAATCTCACATCATGAAGAAGGCTTTCTGCACAAGAGCGAAAGGTGCAAAAAGTCAGACTTTTGAGGGTTCATGTCTCACAGTTAGGAAGTGATGTTTGTTCCAGTTTCCTTAGAAATTAATGAATTAAACTCTGCTGGAGGCTGTCAGATCTCTTTATGTTGGGGAATTTAAGGCTTTCCACTGATACTGTGGGGTTCTGACCTCCATATTGCAGTACCTGCAGTTTTGCTTTGTAGTAAGNTACACTTCTCAGTGAAACTGCAGCAAAATACAGATTTTTAGTATATTTCTTACACACTGTAATTGGATTGTGTTCATGTGAAGGCATGCCTGCTATGCTGATATTAAAATGACGATTAACTAAAAATCCTGATACGCCAGGATGAATATAATTATGACTCTTCTCCGCTTCTGCGCTGATGTGATTTGCTGTTTCTGGAGCATAAACAAATACCACCAGCTTGTGTGCTTTAGGATGATTGACAATGCTACAATTTCTGAAGCATGAACTTTCTTTTCACCCACTTCTCCTTTCTTTTTTAAACCTAACCCTCTGTTTAGAAGTAATCTTCCCCAATTCTTCATCCTGAAAATGGGCAAAGCTTACAGCTCTGCTCGCCTTGCAGTTACAACTCTTAGCTGATGGGGACTTTGGCCGAGCGCTGAGGCACATCAAAGCGACTGATGCAATGATGGACCGAGGGAAGAAACAGAGTTTATACTGCGTGTGAAACCCAGTCCCACAATGAGGATATCAACAGACGGCCCATTTGCTGCGATTCAGGCGGCTTATTTTCTCAACCGGTGTTGCAGACTAAAAATATTTGGTGCCCTGATTCAATAAGCCATTACTGGGACAGGGAGTGGGGAGGGTGAGGTGGTGGTGGGGGGGCTGCAGCAGGCTTCAAACAGCCAGCTGTTTCTCTCTTTTTTTTTTTTTTTGCTTTCTCATGTTCATGCTGATCTGCTCTGCACCAGCGAAAGAAAATAAGCTTAAAAATCGATAGGATGCACTTACGAGGATACTGTCATCAAAAACAAAATTGATACTAATGGGCCAATCTGCTCAGGCAGACATGAACGCACACAGACACACACTGCATCTGCTCATGGGTGGAAGCTATAACGTTCACTCCGGACTGAATTATTGAGCATCAGTAAACAGGAAGAGAAGTTCCCACTGGGTTTATGAGAGTATAAATGTGTGTGTGTCATAAGTGGTGGTAAAAAGCTTCCAGAAGGATGTCCCATATTTGTTCATCTTTTCTAACTAACAGCACGCTTAACGGCATGTTTTGGGAGTGCTTGAGAATTAAATAAATTAATAGCTTACAGTTGCAGCTACAATCTACTGTTTTAAAAGGATTTTCCAACATAAATCACATAGTTGAAGTGGGAAGATGTGACAAATTATTTCCAGTACGTTTTTACAAATAATAAAATCTGAAAAATGTGGCAAATGCATTTGTATTCATCCAAGAAGCTCGTGGTAACTATGAGAGAATCCAAAACTCAAGTGCGAGAATCTGTGCAGATGAATCTGTCAAATTGTACCTTTATGAAAGATTGAAAGCCCTAAAAGTCAAATATACAGCCACACACATTGCAGAGGCCACATCAAACCTGGAAGAAAGAGTTCTGGTCAAATGAAGCTAAAATTTAACACTTTGGTCTTCCTTTAAAAGTATTTATGTGGCAAAATACCCTCACTGCTAATTCATGCAGAAAGCCACCGCTGAAAGAAAAC